CTGTCTCTCCCCCCCCCCTCCCTTCCAGTCTCTCTGAAAATCAATGGAAAAAATATCGTCTGGTGAGGATTAACAATAACAACAAAAATGCACCATCTGCAGAGAGTGGAAAATAAAACCAGATGGTTGACAAATCTTACACGTGCAGCCACTTCCGCACCAGTCCTGTGACTCACAGAGGCAGCACAGCCAGGCCCCCATCGCCCCAATGCCGGGCAGCAAGGCCAGGACCCAGGAAGGCAGAGAAGTCTGGCAGTCCAGGTTCTAGATGGGCACAGGGAGCACACGGCCCCACAAGGAAGCAGGGACCCCTCTTTGCGCACCCCATTCCTATACTTCAGAAGCCCTGTAGGACCCACAAGGAATTGGCCCCCACCCCGGGCCTCCATGTTCCTCCCAGGAATTCAGAGGCACAGTCACTAGTAGAGGGTCTATTCTGCACCTGGCCCCGGTCAGGGGTCCTGCCCAGGCCTCCCTGCCCACAGGCCCTCGGAGGCTGAGCATGGGGACGGCTGCTGTAATAACTGGCCAGGCTCCCCGAGGGAGGCTCTGAAGAGCATAGGTTGCTACTGCTGCCTGGGCACATTCTTAATCTGGACCCTAGGGTCTGACAGCCACCCCCAACCCCAGAAGAAGCATTGCAGTTGGACTTGGTCTTCCCACATCCCTTATTTCATCCTCTAAACGCCCTCAAGCTTCTCTGAGTCAGTTGCTCTCTCTGCTGGCCAGGGGCCCCACACTTTCTTCCTTGTTCACAATGTTTAAACAGTCCTGAGCCAATGCCACCTCCTCTGGGGAGTCTTCCTGGATACTGTAGCTAAAACAAATGGGTCCTCCTGCTGCTGCCTCACACAAGATTGTCATTTGTCAGCTTTTATATCTGGGTCCCCATTAGCCTACAAACTCATCCAAGGCTGGGTCCTGGCTCCCTCAATCCTGAATCCCTCCCAACCCCCTCGCCCAGCTGTGATACCAGGCCCTCCAGAAGAGCGGTGGGAAGTAAGGTAAAGTGCCCATTGCTCAGTTTTAGGCATGAATTAACCGCAGTGCTTAGAATCCTCCCAGGGTCTGTCCCAGGTGCCCAATGGTGAGTGATGCTATGGATGGCAGAATTGGAAGGGGTGATGGTCACTGCCCCACACTGCAGGTTCCAGTTGAAATGAAGATTGAGCCACCAGTTTAGACACAGTGCTTCTCACCAGAGCAGTTAAGGTGCCAAATGGCTGCGAGGCTGGCAACAGGGCTTTGTTCAGACCATCTTACAACAGGCAGGTTTGCTCGGCTGTGAGGGTCAAGCTCAGGACTGGTATCTTTACTCTCTCCCCTACAGCCCAGCCCAGGCTTGGCAAGGAGTAGGCCCCAGGATTGACCAGCAAGAGAGGAGCCAACTATGGGTTTACAAGGGCCTAGCTTCAAATTCCTCCAACAAGGCCTGCCCTGTGTAACCAAGAGCCAAAACCAGAGCTGGAAGGGGCTCTGAGCTCATCCATTTCCACCTCTGCGATGTACCTGGGAGGCAAGTGAAGCCCAGAAAAGGAAGGCACCTTGCCCAGGGTCACACAGCCACATCTCCCAACTCCCAGCCCAAATTCTTCTCAGGTAGCAGACTGCCGCATTCCTGCCCCGGCCCCCCTCTCCCATTCTGCCCTTCCTTCACGGTCAGACCAAGGCCCACCTGCCCAGTGTGTCTTCTCTGATCCCCTCCCTAACCCCATTCAGCATGGTGGTCCGTCAATTGCTTGCTCAAGCTCTTCCCTCTCCCAGAATGCCTGCGTTACTCTTTGGGCCCAGCAAACTTCTACTCATCCTTCAGGGCCCAGTTCAAATATCATCTTCTCTGATGGCACAGATAATATTTGCTCCCATTTACTGAGTACCCTCCCCACTGTGTTCTGATAAACCAACAAGGTAATGTTGAATCTACTTGTGGGGTCCTCACTGCTTGGCACTCAAGTTCCTCGAGGGCAGGGACCTGACTCTGTGCAAAGCAAGGTAATAGCAATATCTGCCTACACAGCCATTCCACTGAAGGGCTTTGCAAACTATAAAGTCCTATGCCACTGGAAGCTCTCTGCGTCATCTTCAGATCTCTTCCCATGGCTCAGTTTCCTCAGCTAAACAATGGTGAAGGTAATCAATGCACACGACATCATGTGTTCTGGGGCAGTACGCGTGCTGGGACAATATGCATGCTGTGTCTGGGCCATGGGCGGGACTCATTCCTGTTACTGTTATTATTTGTGTCACTTTCATCTCCCTGTGGGCCTTGCTCATGGCCAGTGCTCAGTTCATATTTTCTTTGGAATGAATGGCTTCGGCATTTGAGATGTTGAAGAAAATGAGGTTAAAACCCAGAGACCACATGAAGATTCAGAGTTAAACCTTATCATTGAAATGCTGCACTGTAGCCTTTGAGTCCAAAGGTGGCCCCGCTGGGTCACTGTAAACAGTTCCTCACCCTCACACGCAGGTCTCTGGAATGGGGTAGAAGTGAAGAAAGTTCTGCCCTAAGGAGGCCTCTGTGCCGGGCTGTGGCCAGTCAGGAAGCTCGATGGGGAGGCCCTTGGGATTCAGACTGAGGGACTCGCCCCTGGAGACAGTCGAGGGCACAAGCAGTGGCCTGGTGTAAACACGGGCCCAGTCTGAGGCTCAGCCCTGTGAGATCCATTTCCACCCCTCACCAAGGGCAATGGGACGCAGGCGAGCCTCAGTTCCACTGCAGAACAGGCCTCTGGAAGCCCATGCACAGGACAGCCTCTGAGACCTGACCTGGCTTCTGCAAACATCATTCTGAATTGATTTCCACCTGTCAGAGAGCATCAAACGCAACCCCTCTTTGGACAAACGAGAAGCATAAAGCCCAGACATGGGCTGGAACTTGCTCAGGTCACACAGCTGATGAGAACACTTACCCAGAGGCCACCAAAAGTCAGCAACATCTGCCAAGCAATGGCTAGCCCCAGGCCCGCCAAGCAGCCTCCCACCCCAGACAACCAGAGTGCAGCTTGTCACCATACACCACAGCCTGTGGCCACCTGCTCTAGCTTCATGGGTGCCGGGTGAGGTCCTTCGTGACCCCGATCCCTGTGTCAATCTACCAGTCGGTGACCACTTATCAACAGGCTGCTCAACTAGTTCAATGACAGGGAAGTTTTCAGGGTGCAAAGCGAGTGGACAGTTACTTATCAGTTACTTATTAATAGTGACGACCATTCACTGACACCTTTGTTTGGTCCCCAGTGTGCCATTATAGTGGCAGTCAAAGAAGTAGGAGACCCAGTCCAGTCACTGCACAGCTGACAGCCTCCGTGGCTGATGACTGTAGAAGGAGTTCACATGTCATTCAGCCAAGCCACCGGTATGCACCAGCGCTTTCTGTCTCTCCATCTGCATGGACCCTGCATCCCTGGGTGATTTCAAACATCTGTCACCTTGGATTTTCTACCAAAATGTGTGGCCACAGCACAGGGCTAGCCAGCAGGCTGACTGAGGGCTCCTGCTGCACAGAAATGCTGAGCCAGGGTGGGCCGGCAGCCAAGGCTCACCTGGCACCAGGACAAGGTTTTCGCCTTCTGCAGCTGTACTTACATCCTGGGTTTCCCAGAGTCCGTTCCATGGAACCCTTGCATTCCAGGCGATTCCACCCCAACGCTCAACTTTGAAAACCAACTGCTGCCTAGACCATGTCTCTCAGCGGGAGCCCTATCCCCTCCAATGGGCAAAATCTGGTTCTTTGGAAGGCAAAAAAATTAGTCTTTATATATAAAGCGCAGATATACATAGTTTATAAACATATAGTCAGTATATCTGTGGTATGAAAATTTCATGGGGGTGGCAATTAGGAAGAATGTCTAAAAAAGCTCTTTGGCGGGGGGGGGCCTCATGAAAAAAGATTGAGAAGCACTGGCCTAGACAAAGGCAGCGATGACACTCAGCAGGAAGATCCCTCTGAAGGATGGGGAGATGGTGAGAAGTGCTCCCAGCCCTGCCAGGGAGGAAAGACTGCCCCCATATGACTCACCACTCTCTTAAAGCTGAAAGGCAGAAGGGCAAGTGGGTCCTTTCCTGGGACACATCAGCTCATAGCTGACAAAGTAGAGACCATGAAAAGAGTGCCCACTGCTCTGAGGCTGCCACAGGGACTCAGGAGGGCCTGACACACTGAGGAAGGAGCAGTGAGGGGGCCAAGAGCCAGCAGGAATTGAGCGTGAGAAAGAGAGAAGCCGCTCATGGCTTTCTAGTTTGCAGTGTGGTGCCTGGGAGGAGGGAGCAGGTCCTAAGAGAGGGGACTCACCGAGCAAAGCACTGGGAAACAGCAGGCTGGTTGCAGGGATCAGAGACAGTGGGTAAAAGTAAGAGCAGCTAACACCACCAGAGGCTGGACCACATGCCAGGCAGGTGCTGACTGCCAACTGTGCTGCCCAGTAAGGCAGGTCATGTGATCATCACCAGCGTGTCAGCTCCATGTGTCCAGGGACTGTGTCTGCCTCAGGCCCTGCGGTAGCCCCCAGAGCCCGAATGGAGCTGGGCGTATGGGACACAGACAGTATGTGCAGAAAGAATAAAGCCTCACTTTACACACAGGAAAGAATCACAGGGAGGGTAAGTAACTCATCCAAAGCCTTGTGGCTAGTAAGCGCCACAGCCAAGAACCAATCCCAACAGAGCCCGCCTTCCTAGCCCCCGTGTGCATCTGGGCTCAGAGATCCCTGCCAGGTAAGTTGTGGCCCCACTGTGTCCGCGGATGGTGAGGGGACGAACAAGATAAGGCATCATGCTAGCTGGGCCACTACCCACCTGGCGAGCATAAACCTGGTGCCAGCAGGGCTTGTGGGGTTTTCTCTGGAAAGCAGCACAGCCCAGACCACACAATGTGCCCACAGGAGTCCCAAACATAGGGGAGCTTAGGAGAAAACCAGGTCTGCCAGGCTCAGAGACTGGGGCAGCCAGGGGCTGGAGGGAAGGGCAAAATGCAGCTTGAGGAAAGGATTGTCCCTTACCAATCCATCACAGTTGCTGATGGCGACAGCTGCCCCTGGCATGCCTGTGACACTCCCGGTGTAGACACACTCTTGCTGCAAGGGCTGTCGGAAGAGCTCTTGAAAGTCCTCCTGCCACTCTGCAGAGGCCCCGGGCACCAACAGCCGCCGGTTGGGCCGCAGGCGCAAGTGCAGTTCCTCCCCAAAAACAGTGACATTGAAGTAGAGGGAGTAGCGCTCCACTCGGTCAGGCTGTGGGGTGGCTCCTCTGCGGCGCAGGGGGCTGCGGGCCACCCGTAGGTGACTGGACTTTGAGAGTGGTGCAGGTGGTCTCTTCACTGCCTCACTCCCTGTAGAGGATACTGCTGGGCCAGACACCACATGGGAGAGGAAGCGTCCCTGAAAATCTGTGCTGCAGGGCACTGTCACACCATAGCCACTGAGCCTTCGGGAGAGAGGCAGCTCTGCTGGAGGTAAACAAAGAATTACTTCAGTACAGGCTGTACAAAGATGAAGGAAAGCCAGAAATCCCACTGGGGCAGGGAGCGATCTGCAACTCTGAGTGTCACCTTGAAGGGATCCCTTAGCCCAAGTTCATCCATTTCTTATCTCTTGCTTCCTGAGCCCCTGGATCTCTGCATTCGGATGAATGGTGTTCAAGTACTTTGTGGACATAAGTTGTTTCCAGGAGTCCCCAGGTCCTTTTTCAACTTAGCAGAAGAAAACAAATAATGCCAAGCAGAGTCCTGTCACTCTAGTAACAAGCTTTCCAACCTTGGGCACTGCAGAAGAAAGCACTGAAATTCCTCCGAAACCCCCCAGGGCAAAGAGAGGGTCTGCCCAAACATTCCCAATGTGCTGAAGTCACCAGACCAGCCTGGGGTAGGGCCCTCCTCCACAAGCTCCTTGAACGCAGCTGGCAAAACAAACACACCTAGAAACCCTGGGGATCTTGGGCACGTGTCAAGAAGAAAGGAGGAGCTGGAAAGGGAAAGGAGGGAATACAAGTTCTATATTTTTCCAAGTTTAGAAAGAAAACTTTTTTAAGCAGCATAGTGGCTGCCGAGACTTCTACATGGCCCAACCCAAGCCGGGTAAGTATAGATCTTCAAAAATAAAAAAAGACGCACAGGGTGACCTGCCCACTCCGACTGAATTAAGTGTGAGGTCATGGCCCCATGCTCCAGGCTGCATGCCAGCGGCCCCGTCCTCACAGCCCAAGCCAGGCCAGGCAGGAATGACAGCTCCCTGGCTGCCAGGCCTGGTGATTCATGGATATGAGTTTAGGAGGAATTTTCATTTCCACACAGCTCTATCTCCTGCCTCTCTAGCCCCCACCACAGCACTGATAAAACCTGGGAAATGATGTGTCCTGAAAATCCCCCATGTCCAACTCTCCTCTGGTTTACCTATTACAGCACAGGAACCCCAAGACATCAGCTAGAGGGATCCAATTGGTACATGAACAGAGCTCACAGACAAGCAACCACCCTGCCTGGAAATCACCGGAGCCACCTCCCCATGCTCAGAGCCCAGGACTCACCTGACACTGCAAGGTGAGGGTGGAGTGTGTTTGATCTGTGTGTGACAGGGTGTCTGCACAGAGCGTGACAATGCTGGGGAGCGGGATATGTGTTTCTGTGCAGGAGTGTTCGCTGGGGTATAGGGTAACCACCTGCCAGCCTGATTCTATGTGTGTGACAGACATTTGCACAGACATACACACACACGCGCGCGCACACACGCATACAAGCTGGAGAGAGAAGACAATGAAAGAGAAAAATGCACAGGAGAGAGAGTGAGACAGAGAGAAAAAAACCACAGAGACAAAGAGACAGATGTACAAGCCCTAAGAAGAGAATCCGTATTTCCAAATCCTCTCCTGGGGTCTCTCTCCAAAACTTGTGCCAGAAAGTTACAGAAATCGTGGGACAGAGTCGATGGCACAGGGGAAGAAAAGAGAGCTTAGCCCGAGCGTGCGCACCGCCTCCCACCCGCTAGCACGCTGCCCAGCTCCTCAGGCACCGTCGGGTCACCCTGACCCGCGTGCACCCCAGGCCCCACGCGCCCCTGCGCGCCCCACCCGCACGC